CCCTGGGTGTTCCAGAGCATGCAGAGAGACCTTCCTTGGCACCACCTCTGAGAAGCCCTGTGTCTGAGCAACACTCACAGTAGCTGTTTTTACCATTATATACCAGTCCTGTGGTCTTCATTATGTTACCTTTTTTTTTTTTGTTAGCCATTGAACTCAACATGCAAACTGTACTGCTCGTTTGACGCTTGCTCTTGCTCTGAAAGCCACGATGCTGAGTGTTTGACATGACTGGGTGCCATGGCAACAGGCTGTGATATCAGAAATGCCAGATGATTAGATAATTTCAGGTACATGCCAGAAAGAACAGCTGCATTGTGCTACAGAAAGCCCTTACTCCAGAACTGCTCCCTACCAGCAAAGAAAATAGAGAAAATGAATGATGAATAACTGCTCAGTGCTCCCTCCTTTGCTTGCTCCATTGCGGAGATCCCTCTTCAGGTCATCTACAGCTCCAGTGTCAGAGCATAAACATTTATCTCCAGAGTGCAAAAGTGCTTCTACAAAGAACTTCTAGGATTAGTTACTTGCCCTTCATAAGTGTGCTTTACTGCGCAGGCCTGCTCTAAAAAGTTGTCCTGTACTTTCCCTGTCAACAGCAGTAAAATCTTGCTTGGAATGAGATAAAAAAAGCTGTCTTACTGTAGTCACTTCCCTTCAATAGCTATTTCAGTCTCATAGTGTTACTTGCATTATTCAAGTCTAGCAAAATGAAATCTGTTTCTACAGCATGGCTATGGCTAGAGCTTTTTTTGTGGTAAATACATTGATTATAATTAACTGCACTAGTGGTTTGTGTTACATTGTGGAAGCTCTCATTCCAGGCATAGCCTGCAAGTGCGATAGTCCCTGTCAGCATGACAGAATTGTTCACTTCAGTCCAAGAAGATACCACATCCTACTGAAATATAACAATAGTTTATATTGTTGAAACTTTAAAATACCGTATTAAAATCAGTAATCGAACAATTTTGGTTTGCTAGTTTAACTTCCTCCATGCCAGGTTTTTGATGCGTGAAATGATGTAAAACCACAATAATGGTAGAAAACATACAGCTGAATCTCAAGTACAATGCAGATTTATTCTTTTTTCTAGTAGGGTGGCAAAAAATTATATTAATAATCGAGTAGGAAAAGTCAAAAAAAAAGTTGTGTTTTTCCAATTTTTCAGTTTTCTTTTAATTTCCTGGTTTCCAGAAATAAAATGTGAGGGGGTTTTTTATACTTCTTAGCTGAGCAACCTTTAAAATGATGAACGGCTTAGCAGCCTCACTTTGCAGGGCTTGAAATAACATCTGAATGCATTCTGAATGTACGAAAACCGCCTACAGTGCCTTTCCCACTGCTGCCATCCCCACAAAGCTACCTGGAATTAAATGGATATGCACTGTGATGCATTTTCCTGGCAATGTCCATCATAGTTTGCATCTCCAAGGATCCAGCTGAGGTGTTTTCAGGGTCTCTCTTGCCTCAGTCACTTTCAGTCCACCCGTGCTCTCTTCTTGCTCCCTCGTCTTTTTCACAAAGGCTCCTCTCCAGCTTGCATCCCTCCACCCCAAACACACATGCTTCTGCAGCCTGATTCTGCTCTCATCTCTCAGCCCCCACACTCTTGTCCACCTCCCACATGTAAGGCACGAAATGTTGCCTGGATGTACTCAGTAACCAGCAGGACTAATCTAGATGACCAGAAAAAGGTTCAGTGCCTCTAGCACCGTAAGTGCTGAAAGCAGAAAGTGCTGAGACACTTCCCACAGCGTTGTCCCTGACCTGACAGTGGCTGAGGGGAGATCATTCTCTCCTCTTTTCCTAATTAAGCCACAAAACTTCCTCACTGCTGTGCAAGTGGTGGGAAGGTGTTACTGCCAGTTCGTCTCTCCCTGCTTTGGGTAGACTCCAGTCACTCAGAGTAAATGTCCCTATTTGTTTTAACAACTGACCAAAGCCTTTCTAAAGTAGCAGGCTTTCTAAAGTTGCAATGCAGTGAAACCACCATGATCCTTTTGAGCACCAGGGGAAGCTTTTGTAAGACTTTCCCCTAGAGGGAGAAACAATTACTGGATACAGAGCCTGGGCTTCACAATCCATCTGTTTAATTCATAGTGTGTCTCAACAGTACATCTCTGTCAACTCCATCTCTCCAACAGCAAGGCATAGCTGTGATTTAGGAGCTTGGCCATTTGAAAGACCAATCAGGCAACCATGATCTTTTCCCACCCAGCACATGAGGATGTTGCTAAGGCAGTTTCTCAATTTAAGAATGATTTTATCTCTTTTTCTCTCTTTTCAGCCCTCTTTGCCAGCTGGCATCTTGTTTTCTACTTTCCAGTGGGCACTGCTTCAGCTCAGTGTGAATCCTTGGAGGGGGAGCAGTAGCCTATTTAGAGCTTAAAACACATAGAGGTTTACTGGCTGGAACCCCAGAGAACAACCTACCAAGAGGCTGATAAGGGCACTTAGCCAGATCATCTCCAAAACATTATTGTTAGAAGAACCTGATGTGCATGTTAAGTAAATATCAAATATGCAAAACCCCAGTACATGTAACGTGCAGATAATAACACAAGGTAATAGGCCCTATCTCCAAATAAATAACAGCACTCTCATAACCACAGGCAGTTCCAGTATTTTATGTTCACTTTCAGTGTCCTCTGAATGGTTCATATCTATAATATATTAAAACTCCCACAGACTCCAGCAGGACTAGGATTTAGTTGTAAAACCATCGCTAAAAAGAGGGGAAGAATTTTTTCTTGCACACAAACAGGCAAAAAACCTCTAGAATAAATTTGATCCAGGAAGCAATTATATAAAGGCGTTGATAATTTGATTTGCATATAAAATAATAACAAGAACGGAAGCTAAGTTATCCCATATACACAGAAACCCTGGGTTTTCAGGATTGGCTACTCATTATTCTCTTGTCGTACAAAGCAATTCAGTTTGCAGCTGCGTTTCTCCCTTACAAATCCAATTCAATCAAGAGAAATATCATTAGCAAACCCACTGATTTATCCACCAGTAAAGTGCTGATACAGGCTTCTATTCCTGCTGCTAATAAATTCTCTACATAGCAATGTTTGCTTTCTCTCTAGGGATCTCCCATTATACTAATGGCTACAGGTTTCTAACTTTACCACTGGGATTTTTAATAGAATAGTAGGGTCCAAAACCTGTGGAAGTCTTAGGAAAGGAAGGACACAAGCCCAGAACATGCAGACAGTTGCTACAGAGATGTGGCTACATGTCACTGCAGGTGGAGCAACACCTGGTGCCTTTAAAATTGCTGTAACAAGACCTTTTGGGGGGTTTTGGTTGGGTTGTTGTTTTTTTTTATTCTCTGAAATATAACCATTGTCTTCTGTTTTGCTCATCACTTTCCTTGATTCCTTCAGTGGGCTTGCTTCCAGTGCCTTGCCTCCCTCTCTGTACCTTTCCCTGCCTCCTGCTTGGTTTGTTGCCTTGATTACCAGCCTGATGGGTTCATCTGCCTTTGCTTTGGCCATCTCTTCTCCTGCAGACATGCAGCAGCTCTGAAAACCCTTGCTAAGTGCTGTCTCCTGTTCCTCCTGCCCATCAGCTGCCACCAGGGCTCTGGGCACTCAGCTCATCACAGCATCATCCCCTTGCTGCTTTTACATGTATGAGCCCTAACACGCTATTTCAAGGCACGGGCACACATTTCAGCATCCTTTTCAAGATGGGCTCCAAAAGGGAAACCCCAAGGGGTGTTAGAAGTGCTATTGTCTTTTGGGAATAATTTCTCCAGCTGTAGGTTCCATAGCTTCTTTAACAGTCCTAGGTCATTTTTATCTTTCAGGTCCATGTGATGCTGGGTTTGCCTGTGGCCCTTTCATCTTTTAAACTCAAAGAAGTTATTTCCGTAGACTATTGGAGGCCAAAATTAATGTTCTAGGCTATCTGGCAGCTGAGAAACACTTGAATTTGGCCTGAATTTTATATAAAAAAAAAAGAAGTACAAAATGTAAGAATCCAAATCCACCTATGACAGTAGCCCATGTTTAGTATGGCTTTAATAAAAAGTTTTATTACATTCCTCTCTGGGGATTGTGTTATTTTTCTACTTGCTGAACATAATATCCAAGATAACAAAAATCAGATAAAAAGAGTCTTAAAAAAAAAAAAGAGATTTGCAAAAATTCAGCATCTGGACTGAAAATAGTTGGAAAATGCTTATGTTTAGAATAACTGTTTGGATTTTTTAAAGAAGAAAGAACACCATTTTTGTTAGTCTAGGGAATGAGATGTTAAACTAATCTTCCGAACCCATGATTCAATATCAAATGCCATCTCATAGTTATTTGCCAATTTCCTCAGTTGCATTCATCCTGGTTGGGCTTTCCTGGAGGGCTCTCACTCATCTGACCAGAGTGCCTTGTGCTTTTTTGTTCCCGAATGTTGCATTTCTGGCAGGTCTAATGCATTTGGCTTTCAGTGAAGTCAGAAGGAGGTGAAGTGTTTCCATGACATCAGCACATCTGAAGCCACATCTTCCTTCCAAAACCACACCTCACAGAGCTGATGAAGAATGTCATCGCCCCTTAGTCCCATTTCCATTACCTACCAGTGAAAAACCTGCCACCATAGCTCCCACAGCCCAGCACACACATCCTCCACAGCCTGTTTGAACTATTCTTCTGCACTGTTGTGCATGCCAAGCCAGCAAGTTACACCACTGCTGAGTTACTGAGTCATTCCCATCTTTTCTCCAACACATCACATTTTTGCCACAAACCACAGCTCTTGAGTATAACCGTTTGCTAGAACTGTACTGTGCGAAGTGTGGAGAGCAGTACAGAAGCAATAAAACACAGTGTGTGCAGGGGGAGAAAAACCAACACAAACCCCAAACCAGTATTTTGGAATGTATATTAGTAGAAAACTAAAGCATTACAAGAGAATTTAGCTCAGCTTTATGATACAGTTTAAGTCCTAGGCACCATTCATGTTTACAGAGCTGAATTAACCTAATTTAGTTCAATCCTAATTTAGTTTAACCCTGCTGGAGCCTGTGGGAGTTTTATTGTATTACAGATAAGTTACGGGCCGGTGCCTATTGACAGAAGTGAAAAAATGAGAAGTAAAATGAAATCAGCTGGCTGTTACTCAGCCTTCACTGCCCAACTGGATCAGGAAAAGTGTTAAAATGAGTCCTGCAATTTTCCTTTCCAGCCTTTAGAATGTGATTTTTAGTTTTGTTTTTTTTAAAAAAAGGGGGAGGGTGCACCTGAGAACGTTTTTAAATGCTCTCTGTGGCTGCCATCAAAGGAGTTTTCTACTTTGGAAAAAGAGCAAGCCTTGTCTCCAAATGCACTTTTGCCAGGAATTCTGCCCTGATTAGGCTGCCTTGGAGCACTTCCTTGGGTGGGTGCCATACTGAAGTTATTGGATGGCAGCCATGTGTTCAACACTCTTAAAGTCTATTCCCTTAATTTGCAACTCAACATAAAACTCGGATTAAGTCCATTGATACTGCTGGAGGGCGGGGCTAACATACATATGTATGCAATTATTTTCAGGATATTGCAATGAGTACGTATATACTCCCACAGAAGTTGCTCTGAAGTTAAACGCTAATGTTCCTTGGGTATGCGTTTTGCTCCTGGGTATGCGTCTGGTTTCTTCATTTGAAAATTATTCCACATTAGGATCTCCTGGCTGGTACTAACGAAAATGCTGGATAATCCATACGTTTGAGTCAGCTCCTCCTAAGACACTGTTTGCCTCTCCAGCCCCCACAATCCTACCCCACAACAGGACCTTAGCAAAGCACTTTGGTGAATGTTTATATCCAGGCCTGCTAGACTGAGCCTATCACCTCTGACCAAACTCAAGTGCATTTTTGAGCATAAATGTTTTAGAATTAGGCACATAGAAGAATGCCTTCAAAGGGATCATTTTATCGTGATTCGCATAGCAGGACATAAGACTTTTCTCTCCCTTACTTGGAGAGAGGGTTGCCAGCATCTCTCATCCACATTTCACAGATCTATTTAGGAGGATGAAATGAGGTGGGCTGCACATAGAAGGAAAGGTTGTATTGACTTGTATTTTTATTGTGTAACAGGCATCCATTTCAGAGTTCTTACTCTTTCACTCACAAGCTTTCTGCTCTGAACAATGCCTTACTGAGACCATCCACACTCTTTCAGACCTCGTATTATCTCCTACATGATCCTCTACCAGCTACAGGTTACCTGTGTGGCACGCAGAGAGAGAAAGGCACAGAAGCAAGTATATATATCCAGAATAAAAACAACCAATACCGTTCTCTTGGTCTTCACCCAGGCCCAGTCTCTCACAGACACTTACAGAGTATCTACACACAGAAGTTCAAAATACTGTACTTCGGGTAAGGTAAGGTAAGGTAAGGTAAGGTAAGGTAAGGTAAGGTAAGGTAAGGTAAGAGGTCCTGATCTAAACACTAATCCTTCATTTTCAATTATATCTTCTAGGGTTTTTTTTGTTTTTTCTTTTTTGTACCTTTAAAATCACAAAGTGATGTTGGTTATTCCACAAGTGACTTGGGGATATGAAACAGAGATGAGTCTGTCTTTGAACACTGGAGATGTATTCAGTACTCCGTAATTAACACCAAAATGGTAATCACTAATTTTCAGATAAAATCAACTATGGTTCATTGGGAAAAAATATGCATTCTGTTGAATATACAATTATATCTATTCTAAAGCAATCACTGCTCGAATTTGCATATTGAGAAACAGTTCCTGGAAATATGACCTACTTGGTAATAAACAGTTTTGATTTTGAAGAATATTTATTCCTTACACTATCTATTGCACCTGTATATTAAATTCAGAAGGAGTACCTGCATGCTACCTAAACTGTATCAAATTACTTCTCATTTTTTATCTTTTCCTTTCTCTCTTTACCCCAGACTACACAGTATCCATGATCTGTACAATTTTGCTTGGATGAACTTTGCAAACAGCTCTCTGCAGTGAGCACTGAGAAGGGGTTTTGGTAGCAGCAGTTGGAGTCTAAAATGGATCAGCTTCACACAAAAGGTACAAACAACATAGGAGAGCATGAGTCATTCCCCTTCATCTACACTGAGATGCTGAGTTTAAAACATGAAAAGGTCACTACTTTTTTGTGCACAGATGAGAGTATAAAGTGATCCAATTGTCATCTTACTTCTCTTTAACATCTATGGCCTCTGAAACGCCACTTTGAACAGAAGATCACATGGGAGAGAAAAACCTCAGCACGGCTCAACTGTATGTGAAATCACAAAAGTTCAAGGCAGAGAAGATGGATGAACCCCCTTGAGAAAGGCCACAGAGAGCACTGACTGCAACTAAAACTGTATTTTATCACTTTTGATTCCCTTAAAACTAAAATACACTTGTGTTAACATTCAAAAGGAGGCTGGTTTATGAGCTTCTGATTTTATAAGGTTTTGGAGATTTGCAGGATTTTTGAAAAAAAAAGTGTAGGAGTGGTACTGTATACACTCACTCTGGGAACTGGTACTGCCTGTGTAGTAGTCAGAAGAAGTAGTATTTACAATTAACCACTAGCTTTGCTATTAGCAGGGGGAGCCATGGGAAGGTGGCTCACCTGCAGCCAAAGGTAGGACACTGTGTGAGCTGAAGACCTACTGAAGCAGGTGTCCCACTTGAAAGATATTTTTACTAGACCACCATCTTTAACATTACATAATGTTTAATCAAAGCTAAAACATTAAGTGGAAACATCCTGCCTTTGATTCTGGTTTTAATGGGGAAGGTTTCTTGTATCTAGGGCAATTTGTCTATTTAGACAGCCTGAGGAAAGACAGAAGGGGTGGAAAACAGAGACAAGTAAACAGGTAGTGACACCTACCACACTGTTCTGTCCACAAAGAAAATAGGGATTAATTTTAGAGAGGGTCTTCTCCACTGAAGAAGTAGGGAAACAGATGGAGCCTGGTAAATTTAAATCACAACAAAAAAGAATTGTATGCAACCAGCCTTCACTTGCTCTTGAAATCAGTTTCATCACTGATTGCTAGAAATGGTCAAATACAGTAAAAAGCAGAGTTTCAGGCTAATACTGTGCCCTCAGTTATCACTGATGAAGCCCTCCTTTTCTATCTTACCTCTCCCTGACTGATCTTGAGATTGAAGTTAAATTTTCAGAAGGCCTTTTTAAAACCTCTCTAGAGAAGAACACAGTGTTCCAGACCAGATTAGAAGATACACCAAGCATATTGCTGCAGGGAGTAAAGGTGTTTCTTGAAATACCTGGTATCATCACACTAGTATTAGGGTAACACTACAAATTTCTCTACAAATAAAGAAGTGCTTGCAGGTTGCTACCCATGATATGGAAAAGGTTTCAAACACCTAGCATAGGCAATGAATGACATTAATCAGTGCAGAATTCTGACCTCCACCTTCTCTTTACATATCAAATCTCCAGTGGCACCAGGTTGTTTTATGATCCCTTGATGACAAGACTGTCTGGATCAATCTATCAGGCTTCCAGGGTAAACTACAGCAGGCCTTTATCCTTCCCTTAGGGCTACCAGCTATAGCACCCAAGGAGCCATTCAGCCACTGAGACTGACTGAAATGCTACACATTCCAGCCTTTCTCCTTCCCATTATATACTAGATAAAAGAGTAAGAACATGGACCAGAATCCAGCTGTAAGACTTTCCCAAATAGGGAAGTACCTATTTCTACAGACAGCTTAGTTCTGAAATTAAATCCATCGATTTCTATTCTTAGCAGAAATTCCAGCTAAGCATCCCTGCCTTCTTGACCTCATTTGAGTACTGTAGTGTAGTTTTGCTTAAAGAATCAAAACTTCTGACATCAGCCCTGTCAACTTCTCTCTTCACTTGCCAGAAACTCAGTATTTCTGTGAGTGGAAATCCCCACTGACTGCTGAGCCGTAACCAGTATTTGGACAGCTGTTCTTTGCTTTACTCTTTGGACAGTAAAACAACATTTCTGAGGATGACAGAAAGTGAGTCCCTCCTCTCACTGCATATGTGCTAATATGGACAACTCCTGTGCTACCAAAGAAATGTCTACTCCATACCTTGGTGCAAGTATGCAAACCCAATCTGGACAGTGCTGACTGTGTTGACCAAATTCCCTTGAGCAACTAGTCCCACAGATTTCAGATGACTGCACACACTACTTCACAAGCAGGGGGCTGAAATTGCAAAGAATGAACTAATTTCCCTCAAAATGAGTGGTCAGACTTGTCACTCCTTCGCCTTCGTGTTTTATTAATATGGTCTTAAGCAATCGATCTTCTTTAGAGGGGAATAATATGGTTACATAATTTAATAGATCAATTTGTTAATAATCATGGGAAAAGATTAAATATCTCTTTATACTTCACGTAAATAACAGAAAATTATGGTACTATTATTGTGACAGAGAAATGCATGCCAATTACCCAATTAATGTAAATCAGCACAACCTGACTGATATTAGTCACTGCAGATGCATTTATTCTGACTAAAGAACTGGCCTTTGCCTCTGAATCAAATTGCTCTGATGGTAAAAATCCAACTTTGAAAAGAAACTAAACTGAAAAAAGCCGACTTTGCCACTCTGATCCATACCCTTCACCTCCATCTGTGAAGACTCACTCCTACAACGCGATTGTTTTTGCCTTCCAACACATCCAGGTATGAAGGGGTTTTACTGGTAAGCTCTCAGGGGAGAAGCCGCTCATAGACCCCCAAGCTATTTGGTGTGTTACTTTCGGATCCCCTTCCATTTGGTTTCCCCAAAAGCTAAGATACATTTCTCACAGTGCTTAAAGAAATTAAAAAGTCACTGCAAGCGCAGGAAGGCAGGGTTGTGTGGCAGGAACATCACTTGGGTGGTAGCAACATCACTTGGGTGGCAGCTACTGCAGTGCTATATAATGCCATACAACAGCATTCATAGGTTCAGAAGAGGCAGTGAAGATGATAAGAATCACGTTGCTGAACACGCATATAGGTATTAATGAAGTAATGTTATGTTTGCGCACATTGTGCCCTTGCAGTGGAGGAACATCAAGAAGAAGATGCCTCTGAAGGTCAAGGGTGCCCTTAGCCCCATTTCCTGGGCAAGAGCCTGAAACGTAGAGGAGCAGGGAACCAGCCTGGCCCCAGGGGCTCCTTCCTGGAAGCCTCCTGAGGGCGAACGGTAAAACGCTGGAGGAAACCGGGGCCACCATACGAAAGCAAGCCCCAGCCTCAGGGACACCCCGGCAGCAGGGTCCGGGCGGGAGGAGCACCGCCTGCGTGCCGCGCCAGGCCGCCGGGCGGCGCTTCACCACTCTACCCTTCTCCGGGCCGGGCCGGGCCGGGCCGGGCCGGGCCGGCTCGGGCTCCCCCAGGGCGGAGCAGGCAGGCGGGGCTGTCCCCTCCCCTCCTCTCTCGCCGCGCCGCAGCCGCCGGAGGCGTGCGGAGCCCGCCAGTGTGCGCCTCCCGCCCAGCCTAGCGCAGTCCAGCGAGGCACGGTAGAGTGAGTCCTTGCCCTGTTTCCCCCGCATCGCCCGGGCGACCAGAGCCGGCTATGGGTAAGCGAGAGGGGCTGCGGGGAGCCCCCAGTCTGGGACCGCGGGGTAGGAGCAGGGGCAGGTGCTGGGCAGCCCTGGGGAGTGGTGGCAGCCCCAGCCCGGCCTCTTGCCGTGGGGCGGCAGCCTGTTGAGCGCCCCGGCAGAGCGGGCTGGGGGCGGCCTCCCCTCCATCCCGTTCGGGCCGCGCCGTTGCCACAGCGGGGCTCGGAGGGCTCCTGGCCGGCGAGGCAGCGGGACCACGCGAGCTGCAGAGCGCTCTCCCCTTTAAAAATCAATTACTATTAGTGGCGGTACTACAGGATCCCGGAGAGATAGTTTCTTGGAGGCGGTTGTCCGCAGCCGGCCCGGAGTGTGTGCCTTCTTACCCGGTCCTGCCGGCGCTGAGGCGGGGGTCTTGCCCCGCACGCCTGAGGCAGGGGCAGCCGCTGAGGCCGGGCCGAAGAGCAGCAGGGCAGCCTCGGGTCTCGGGTAATGACTCGGTCTGTTCACTGCTTCCCCTCTCAGTCCTCTGGGGGTGCTCAGCTTTGCCGTGGGGTGCAGTGTGGCCGGTGGGAGCAGGGATCACGTCGGGGGCAGGGCGGAGAGTAGACGTGCCTTTTCGGGATGGGGAAGGGTTGAGGTCGCTTGTTGTGCCCTGAGCGTTGGGAGACATTGGGGTAACGCGGTGCGCTTTTCCCTCTAGCCTTGGGTCTTCGCAGTGGAGAGAGTTGGGCATCGGTGAGAATTGGCGGCTTCTGTTCCACAACTTACAGGGAGGATAGCGGGTGTGTGAGTGTGCTAACGCGAGCAGAAATGGGGCCCTGGCTAGGAAAGGACTCATCCTGCATATGGGTCACTCGATATTCAACACACACGTTCAGCGTTCTCATCCTTTCAGGCATGGGCTGCTTCCTGCCAGCTGTCCTTTCAACCAACAGTACATCCAAATTAATTAAGCAGTAATGAAAGTTATGAAATTTGGGAAAAAAGAAAAACGCAACTGTATCTTTGGTCCAGTTTGCCGGTGGTGTGTCATTGCTTAGAGGTTGCAGCTGCTAAAGCAGAGCCATCAGTGCATGCCTGTGTGTTAACATGCACATACTGATGCTGGCGCTGTCTCTGGTTTTAATTAAGAAGAAAAAAAATATTAATTACTCAGCAAAAACTAAAGGAAGCTGACAGAAGTCCTATGGTTGCTACTTTGTTAAATTAATCCGCTTCACTTAATTCCTGAATTTCTAAATGATTATTAACTGGTTTGTTCCCTAGTTTAGTGAAGATCAGACTCCTGTAGTATTACAGCTTTTTTACTAAGTTCTTTGAAGTTTACAGCACCCCTTTCAATGCATGTTGAATTACTGATTCCTGCTGCCTCTGCAGCTCTGAAGGCCGAAATGAGCAAGCCAGCTGCATTACTGGCACGAAAAAGCTTGTATTTTGTGTGCATATTCTGACACCTTTTAGACAGCGCTTTCCCTATGTGAACTTTTGATATTAAACAGTGATGTTGACAGCCTCTTCCATGTCTGTATCTTAGTATCCGCTTACTACTTTTACTGTATTACCGTAGGCTGGTGTCAAGTAAATGTTGGAATGGGACGGAAGAGTGAAAGATAGAAAGGAATGTTTTTTAGTATTATTAAAAGAAGTTTATTCATTGGATTACTGTGTCTTGGGGAGGGATAAAATTTATTAGATAGCACGTATAAAATTGTTCTTAAGTGTCTTTGCTGCTAAGTCTATAAAACTGCTATTTCTTCAGAAAATCAAGCTACTAGGGGTTTAATATCAAAAAGTTGTTTTAAATCTTTGTGAGGGATTCATCCTGAGGAGAAGCAAATCTTTATTGTAGTCCTAAAGTCTTAGAAAA